TTCAGAATTCTATTAAACAAATTTAAATATCTTCAGAGATTAACAGTTTGCATGAACCGAATGGAATTGTAGAATTTCCAGTCATATACAGTATTATTACTTCCTTTACTTCAGTTGTTACAATGAATTATATTGTTCTGTTCTTATTTCCAAGAAAATAACGATTTCATTTTTGGTAATAAAAGTGCAACTGGTTTACAGAAATAGTGTATTGTGATGTTACATTTCCATATAGTTTGTTCGTGGACAGAAGTCAGTTATAAGCAATGTACAACATGACACGTATACGTATCGGTTCATGTCGTCATATTATTGTCAGCATAGTTATCTAGTGTCATCTAGTTTTCAATGGATCTTCCATTGATTTTGGTCTTGAATGAAAATAAATTCCAAATAAATGTTAATTAAAATGAATTATATGCTGTTTACTGTTTGTTATAAGGAGAATAACTTTTAAGATTTGTTATGTTTCACACATTTTAGGTTGTTAAGTTAAATGAATAGGATGCTGATTGTTAAAAATGATGTGCAATTATACGATGTGGTTGGCTAATAACCAATCACTGATCGCAATGATTTTTTAAAGTAAGGTACATGAAGACAAAATAACCACCATGAGAATGGGTTTTTTCTTGCATTAAAATGAAACACACATACATAAAAAATATCATTCTTCAAAATAAACATGATCACATGTTATTTAGTGTATACGAATTTTGCAATGAACTCACTTATCAATAAAATTAAAACTTGGCTGGTGAACTTTGATAAGTTTAAAATTGACTGGTTACTCAGTAGTGACTATTCTCATGTTTATCTAGTCTTAAGCGCTTGTCGAATTCTGTCAGATAAGTTATACTGTAGCCACTGATTTAGTTGACATAGATCATCACAAAATAGACCGGTTGCTGAATAGTTGTTGTAAACGTATCAACTCTAAATGAGGTCAGTCACAGCTTAAATAGTTAAATGATAACGACTCAAACTGTGAAACTGGATGAGGAAGGTTCAAATCCCTATACAAAACATTATCTCCCATAAGATTACAAGTAAATCTAGATGATTAGTGTCATTTATCACGAAATCTAGGTCAAGGAGGATATCCTATTGATTATGTCCTATCGTTTAACAAATTCCATTAAATAAATAATCATAAACACTTATACCAGTATCCTTGTTTTGAATTATCTAATCAATATTATGTTAATTAAACTGTGGGCTAATCATTTTCATTATTGATTACTACTAAAATATTTATTTCTTCTCCCATATCAATCACCATGGTGATCGTGATAAATATTACAAATAATTTCTAAGTAAATAACTGTTGAAATAACTTTATTTCCAAACTTTAATATTGATATATATACATATATTATTTTTTCAAAATGAAGACACCTATTTTTTGCACATGGGAAGAATTAAACAGTATTGTTACTAAGTAATAACATGCAAATTAAAACTGATATTATATCAGGTCATTAGTATATAAATTTAAAGCAACATGGATCTAATACAAATATGTATATGTGATCTGATATTATAATTAAAGATGAAATATCTTTAATTTTCCTATCTTACATAATGATCATTTTTATCATTATAAATGATAATATTTTATTTATGAAGATTGTTGAGTTTAGATTGATATCATGAATTGATTGATGCGGGATTGTGGATACACACTGATGAAGAGTCCCATACTGGGACGAAACGATTGTTTAGTACTTCCAAATTTTCATTTGTTGTCTAACATTGATCCATTTATAATATCAATCGGAAATATCCCATCTAATTTGCCACATGGTTTACGAGTGCGCCTCTTGCACATTGCGGAAGCCATCGCAATCCATGTTCACAAACCTGACCTTTGCATACAAAAGAGATTCGTACAACCACTTTCCCTGCCCTGGCCATCAGTTTAAGATTTCCTTCAAAAGAACTATTTTTCATACTTCTTCCATTTTTTTTTTAATTTTTAAAAACTTTTGTAATTTTTGTAATTTTTTAAACTTTTGTAATTTTATTTCTGTTGCTTTTGAACTTAATAACTTCTCAACATTCATCTCTTGATTCTTACGTAACTACCATCCTATTGACCATCCGTTAAAATTCTGTTCCTTCTTTGTTTCTTACATTACGCAACTTAGCAACTTCTTGATCACTTTGAATATTAATAATCCTCTTTCTTCCAATTAATCAATGTTAATTTAAATATCATTATGTAATTACTACGTAACGTATCTACTCGATGAGTATTATATTATTATTGTAAAACGTATATATATTAGTGTAGAGCCATGATGAAAAACTAATTGAAAAGAAATTTCTTCGCTCAATTCGTTCCTTCAATATTTTATTTGTTATGAGCTACTTATCTATCTACTTTATTGGAGTAACAATTACCTCAGATTTGTGATTTTGAGTTCACTATTACATTTTGGTAATCCTCAAGTAGTAATTACCAGTATAATAGTAGTTATAATAATGATGTGTTAATTAGTAGTAGTTGTAGTACTGTAAGTAGTAATGTTATTAAACCGGATCCACCCGCATCTATATAAACATTTTTGTTATAATTTGAATCTGTTCAGGATTGTTTAAATCAATAAATAATTATTTATTTAAACGTTGAGTTACTCAAGTCACCATTTTATGTAGAGTATACAATTTTATGGAAGTTATTAGGTTTTATCTCTATAAACTCGTTAATGATTGGCAATCACCAGAGTGATAACCATGGTCTTTTATTAGCCATGGAATGTATTGTGTAGGACATTTGTCTAAGGCTGGTCTGGATACACATGCTTATCACATACGAGCACAATCAGATATATAAGTAGAAGACCAACACTGAGTAAGAAGATTTTATTGGCTAACATGAATCGAAATATATGCACAATCTCGCTCATTAACAAAAATATTTATTCCTCAAGGAAATCAAACTAAATTTTTAACTAATAGCGTATGTCTATCGCTTTTGGATAATCAATCCAGACCAGAAACGATAGCATACACCCATCAACATATCTCACCTACCAGTTTGCTTTGTAACTGATATCCCTGATGGTCCCAGCCTTTCAAGGTTTAAAAGCAAAAGCATTTGCTAAATCGTAATTATATATATATATATATATATATATATATATATATATATATATATATATCACTGAATTCCTACTGTATCGGTTGAAGCATACAACTTGCTAAATAGCACAGGTATAGGTTTGAATGGAGTTGAAGGTATCACTTAGCAACCATACCTTTTATTTATACAATCGTGGTAACAGTTGAGATATTTCGTTTTCCTTTGGAAATTTCTTTTTGTAGCCAAACCCTATTACAGTAAGCAACAAGAATTCTTCCTTACACAGTTATTTTACTGATTTAAATCTTTCGGATTTTTCTTGTCGATGGGTCTTCAGTAACTGGCAGAAATAATAAATTGACTGATGAATCAGTCAGTTGAGTCATCCATTACACACGTCTGTTCACCGTGTTCACTGATACACTATACTATTTTACACTACAATAATTTGACTAAAGGTCTACGATTGTTGAAATTAAAATCTGTTCATCAGCAAGTCATCGTTCGTCAGTGTGAGCTATATTGGAACTTAAATGTTTTTTAGATTAGGCACAGGACATAATTAAAGTCGATTTTTTGAAGATGCCGAGTGTGATGGATTGAGTTAAATCGTTGTAGATCATATAGATTCATATTTTAAAAACCTTACCCTTAATGTTCATTATGACTTTTTGTTTTGGACCTTTTATTCACATAGTTCACTCATTCACTCGTTCGTTCAAGCCTTTCGAGCTATAAATTTCCTGTGTATGGTTTTCTAACAACTAATACTATTAATGTTATTGTTTCAACTTCTTAATTATTTCAATTTCACTATTTGAATTCATGAGTCGATTAAAGCAAGACCACCACTGAAAAACTGGAAGCATTGGACTGCCGTTTCGTCCCAGCAAGCAACTCCTCAACAGTGCGCATCCATGACCCCCACACACGGGACTCGAACTCGAGACTTTTGGTTTCGAGTGTGATCGCCTAAATCCTAGACCATACTGAGCCGGTATCCAGAGGTGTTATTGTCTAACTTCAATCGATTCGTGATATTACGTAACCATTCACCCATTTTCTTAATTGGATAACTGTCTTCACCCGATAAGAATCGGACTCCGCTGTTCACAACTTCTGACTAGAACTCCAGGAAATACATCTCGAGGCTAGTCACTAATGAGCAAATAATTATTATCAGAACGAAATTTGTGGAGACCATAGTAATAATAATGGTTGAATTCATAAATCAATCTAAACTGAACCATCATTGAAAATTTTGTTAATTGTTCTTATCAAGTTGATGTTGATGATTATTTACAATGAAATTTATATTGTTCAAGACCACTTACTGATTAACTGTATTTATAAGAATTTATAATTTCACATTGTTATTATTCAGAATTAAAACTAATTAACTTCTTCTATCATATGTGCATCTTGAGTGAATTGCTTTATTATACCTTTATACCACAAAATTTAATTTATATCCTTTATGATTCGGAATCAGTCACAATAGCGTACATATATTCACTCTTTGTCTTCTTTTAAACTATGAGATTAAAATCATTTCATATCTTTCTTTCTATGAACTAATTCTTTCTTCATGTACTATATCCTTATATACAATCCTTCTTTTATATATTTTCACCACTGAATAAACCACTTCTATGAATTCGGTGTTCATCTTGTTGTGCTAATGAAGTATGACAACTTGGACAGATGCCTGGTCCTACGTTGTAGCTGATTGACTGACTGATTGATTGATATGACTTGCACTGAAATCCATAACACATATTTTGTTTTAATTTTTTAAAACTTAAGCTAATAAGTACCAAATAGGATAAAATCTATTTCCTTGAATTCTATTGTTATCCACAATACCATGAAAGATATTTACCCATAATTCTCATTTATTTATTTATTTCAGTGAAAATCAATCAAAATTTGTTAATCAACGTGTTCATGAAATTGAAACATTTTTTGGTAATTTATGCGCTGAACTTGTTAGTTATACAAGGCGAACATCGAAATTAAGAAATAATGGTAAGTGTCAAAAATGTCTCTTTCCCCCCCCCACACACATGCACACACACACAATCTCTCTTTTTCTCTCCTTATTCCTTTTCCCTTTCAACATCTCATTATCATAATTATTGATAAATTCTATTACTCTTATATAATAGGTGATGAAATTGCACGTATTCTACTAGATTATTCAAATAAAGAACAAATCAATCGAACTACATCAGATGCTTTAAGAAAAGTGTCCGAATATTTTGTTACACTTGAAGATTATCGTAATACTGAAGTAAAAAAAAGAATATTCGATTCATTATTTTTCTTAATTAATTAATTAATTGTTTTATTAGATTGATCGAATTGTTGGTAAAGTTGTAAATCCATTAGCTGCTTATGGTGAAGAAATTAAACATATCAAAGTAGGTATTGTATTAAAATGTTTTGATATTGATTTCCATATTTTCTCTCTTTTCTTTTTGTTTTTTAATTAAATAAGAACAGTTTGAAAGCTGAAAGTGCAGCACGTAGAAGAGAGATTATGAATATGCGTAAATTGGAACGATCCAGTACAGTACAATCATCTAGAGAGGTAAGTGTTTATGAATTTTAAAGAAACTTTGGTTATTTTTATTGTAATGATGATAAGTGTTAAGATCCTCACCCTCTTTATATGTTCCTTAATTGATTCATTAGATATAGTCTAATAATATAGATACACTTCATGACTGTTAGATCACCAAACTTCTACTTATCCAAAGCATTTATTGACCAAAAACAAACCACTTTGAGTGATGGGTACAAATACCTTTATTTTTGTTGATCCATTAGCCGGTTTCCTTCTATTCTAGTGGCCAAACAGAAGTAGAAACACATCAAGCATACAAGACCTATTATTTTTCACAGATTACATCATAACCCAAACATGAACTTACTACATACGTTGATCAACAGATAAAATCATACCTTAAATAGGAAACCATAGTTTGTGCACAACCAAGTGAAAACTGATAGAGAACTAAGGTAGACGTAAATAATTGATTACTAATTTAAAGAAGATTAGTATATAACATTAGTTTATGGGTTAAATAGACGTTTACAGTATTAAGACTATAGAACTATAATAATCCTACTGTAGTGTAAAGAACACGAGTGAAGACAATCGAAGGTACTTGACACAAAATTACAAGATCTGTTAGTAAAATCTAACAATCAAATAGTAAATACGTAATTTGCTGAATGTCCATCAATTGTCTCATAATGACTCAGACTTCATTGTTCTTCCACTTTCATACAAATTACATTTTGTTTCCATTCTTTACTGTTCGATCCTCTTGTCTCTCTGCTGCCAGACATTCTGTTCACGACTAACATCATCTACTACTTATGTCAATCTAAGTAGCTCACAGCATACTATAACTTAATAATTATATTTCTTCGGGAAAATAATTCTAAGAGTTCCAACATCCTCAATATCCACTGCAGTCTAACACCCTGTTTATCAAAGGATTATAAGGAATCTCAACCATAAGGGTTTCATTTGGTTTGATCTGAGTTTATATGTATCAACAAGTTATTCAAAACCAAAGGAAATGTGATTAGACGTTAATTAAAGTTAATGATATTAACGATCTAAGTAATAGTAGAGTTATTGTATTTATGATGATGGACGTTTTAAAAAAAGTTTATAGTTCAATGTTTATAGATCATATTATAGTTGAAAAAAACTATTTGGTCATATATTTTATGATCTTAATTGTTAATATATTAATAATAACATTCTGGGTAAAATTATGATATACTCACAAGCCAATCAAAAGAGAAGACAGGAGATAAGTTTGTGCTCGAAATTAAAAAAGTAAATAACATTTATATGTAAAAGTATAGTATAAGGATGCGTCAATCAGAATCAAAAACTAAATGTTTCGGGCTTCTGCGCGAGATTCAAACATGCACGCCTGGAGTCCCTTCAGGGGCTACTGCCGGTCCCAAGCCCGGATAAAGGAGGAGGATTGGACATGAGGTTAGCGACCCCATCCTGTAGAAAACCAACTCGCTATAAAAACGCTAACCAGAAAAAAATTATTCAAACCTTTTAAACTCCGCTCTTGGAGTTAGAAGGTCTTCATTTAGAAGAACTATGACACCTCATGATGAAAGCCGAGTTCCTTTGGAAGTCACGAGGCCGATGCCCCTTCTGACAACCAGAACAACCATTTGTTTAGGTAAATGGAATACTCGTACAATGTGGGAGACCGGGAGAGTCTTCCAAATTGCTGCAGAAGTAGACATATCATTGTATATTAATTAAAATATTTAAAATGATAACGAAAATTTACTTTTTTGTCATCATTGAGTAAATATGGTAGTGGTGAATGTATCCTATGCTCAGTTTCGTCTCTAAACACTCAATCCTAAAGCAAACATTAACCTTATGTTACTCTATTTTAGGGATGAACTAATCAGACAACTCATCTTGTATACATGCATAAAATTCATCCATTCAAATGGCTACAGAGCATTTTTGTATGATAGCTTATTCCAATTTGTTATAAAAACTCGTACTCTAAGTCTCCTTATCCTAGCTCTGAATACCTAATACCAACTAGGAGCAATGTAAATAGTTAATAACTCTTTTTGGGTCCTTTTAAAGGTTAGAGAAGGAGGATACTATTTATTACTATGGTTTAATTATTTGTCATTGTTTTTTTAATTCATAGACAAAAGAGTCTGTGGAAGATTTCAACTCTGTTTGCTTTTTATTGTATCGATGTTTTACCTTGCAAATTATTGATCAGCAAAATTGCAATTATTATAGGCTTGCCCCAACACTATAATTTCATGGTAGTTCATCTGAAATTACTTAATATTTGAAGTAAACGCTTTTACTTATGCTTTACAATCAGTATTCTTCAATGATTAATGATGATAACCATATTAATTTATTTTTAGGACTATAGAATTCGGTAATAGTAATTACTACTCCGTTTGTTTACTTAAATTAATTTGTAATAATGAAGCAAATATAGAAATAAAATAAAGAATACATAAAATATGGCTAACAGTGGAATCAAGGACGCATGTTTCGTCTGATTCCGGACCCGTCAGCCAGTTGTGCCGGCATATCAGTGTTGATGATCACTCAAGGATTTGAACCCAGTACCTTTCAATTCAAACGCCAGAGCATTATCCATTTAGAAATTGGGTCCAGATAGCTATTCACTTGTGAACATCAACTCTGGGATGAAGGTACATCTAGATGACAATCCCCGTATAGGACGAAACGTGTCCTGAATTCTCATACTAGCCATCAACCAAATGGCATTTGATGGAGAAGCTCTGGAATAGGTGAAAAGCTTTATATACCTGGGTAATATAATCGATGAACAAGAATGATCTGATGCAGATGTGTAGGCAAGGATTGGCATAGCAAGGGGAATAGTATTACGACTGAAGCACATATAGAACCCAAAACAACTGTTAGCCAACATCAAAGTCAGAATTTTCAATGAAGAATTCAAGACAGTTCTACCGTACGGAGTTTAAACTTGAAGAACTACTACAATCATCATCATATAAGTACTGTTACTTATAAACAATTTTCTATGCAGGATACTCAATATCTGTTGACTGAGTACCATCAAAAACAACCTACTGTGGGAGGAAATAAGGAAGCTTCCAGCTGAAGCGGAAATTGGGAAAAAACTCTGGAGGTGGGTAGGACACACATTTTGAAAATCATCAAACTGCATCACGAGGCAGGCCCTAACGTGGAATCCTGAAGAGGTAGGGAAAAATGAAGGATCGAATAACACATGTACCTGGAAATCGGATGTAGATATCAAAAGAATGAATAACCAGGGGAAACAACTGGAATGGATTGCCCAGATAGAGTTAATTGAAGATTGCTGGTTGGGTGCCTATGCTCTTCTACGAGAGGTAACAGGCGTAAATAAGTATGTGAATAAAATAATTAGACAAACATGACTTTAGTTGCAACTAAGTGTGTAATGGATTCTACAATATAAGTATTGCTTCAATCTTCTAAACGTTTTAACAAATCTCTATTATTAACACTAACAATAACGATGTCAATATTGTTTCAATGTTCGTTTTATTTAACGAGTCATGAACCAATAGAATTCTCGAAGAATACAAATAATATCAAATTAGAATTATAAAAATCTAGTGAATATAATATAGACTAAATAACTATTTATTCTTATTACTGAAGACTAAATCAGGTGAGATGGTTGACAGATAAAATTAAACTAAATGATTATTGAAAGTACAATAAATCATAATTTGTCATTTAACTGTCAATTATTATGGAGATTTCAACAGAATTTTTAATATCTTAAGTAGATTTCGGTAGTGAATAATATTGGAATTCAGAACACGCACTTCATTCTGTATTTGACTCATCAGCTGGACATACCTAGACTCGTGTTGATATTCCCACTGGGGTTTGAGCACATTACCTTTGACTATGGTTTAATAGATTTAAATCATGCGGTTTGAAAATTGTCTTGGATGGACATTCGTCCCTAAGATTACAACAATGTGACGCAGCAGTTAAAGACCATTATTTTTTAGTATATGGATTAGGACTTTTTGTTCATTTGTAAGGGTTGTCCGAATTTTTCCGTTATTGCCCATAAGAACTGCTATTAGTCAATTTCTTTTGGGATATGTGTACCCTGTGAGTTTGCCCCGCTATCGCCCTTAAGTCACACGTATTTTGAAGATAGTTGGATAGAGGGTAGCAGTTGAATCCAGTACCTTTTGATTAAACTGATTTGCTGAGTCTAGATAGCCGTTAAATTCTTTAACAGGTATACCGTTTATATCATGCAAACATAGACTAATCAAAATTCAATCCCAAATATTAACCAGGGGTTAATTCAAATCTTTACTAACAATGATCTAGCTTCCTTTAGAGTTTTATTTTAATTTCAGTGCCCATTCATTGTTCCCTGACTTTTAAAAATATATCGGCTATTTTTAAAGGTCAATTCAAATTTCCTGTATTAACCGGTCTTTTGTGACTCCTATCCATACTTTTCTTCTCATTCAATTTCTGAATTATACGAAAAACAGCATTTGAAGCTGTTAATTTCCTTGATTCATGATTTTGTTGACTTCAGTTAAATCTTTCGTAACTTTGAAAGTTTTTGTGTAATCGGAGTATATTAATCTTATACGATTTAAAAACATTTTACAGACTGTCTATAAGTTCTTTGTCAGAATAGTGTTCTTAATTTTAAGCAAAAATGGATAGTGACAAGCAGTGTAATCCAGGATGTGCATTTCGTCCTATTTGGTAAACGTCAGCTGGATGTGCTTGCATCTCAGATTTGATGTTCACTTTGCCACTCAAACCCAGTACCGTTCGCTTCAAACGCCAAGGAGTTATCCTCTTACCTACTGAGTTCTGATAGCCATTTGCTTGTGCAATGTGGTGAACTTGAAATTCATTTGGTATTGTTTACTTGAATCTACCCATTGATGCTTAGGACTGAAATGGATCGGTCTCTTATTGGCATATGTGTATACCATGTGTATTGCCTTAATTCACGAGCATTATAGGCAAAAATGGATGGTGTCTAGTAGTGGAATCGAAGACATCAAGTGAATTTGATATCCTTAATTTTTGAATGAATAAAGTGAGAAGCCGTTATCAGTGGAGTTCAACTAGGTCTATTGTGAGATATCAACTCACTGGAGACAATGGTCTACGGTGGCACAACTTCGTGGATTGGTTGAAGTTAGACACCAACACCATTGGATCCCAGTCAGTTCAGTGGTCCAGTTGGTTAAGCGTCTGGCGCAAGACTGATAGGTCCTGGGTTCGAATCTCGAGGGACGCGGGATTGTGGATGCGCACTGCTGAGGAGTCCTATACTGGGACGAAATGGCCGTCCAGTGCTTCCAGGTTTTCGATGGTGGTCTAGTTTCAATTGACTCATGATTTCAATCTGTGAAATCTCTAAAATCTCCACAAACCCCTTCTGAAACTCCTTAACAACTATTTTCCATGGATTTACGTGATTACTTTCTCTATTCAGTAATTCAATATATTTATCTGTTATATTTTAATATTTCAAGTCAGATAGTATACAATTAATTGTAAAAGTATATCACTTTACCCATTAAATTATCATCAACAACAACAACAAAAACAAAAAGAAATATAAAGTACAACTTATTTTATTACAATCAAAAGCACAAAATAGGACATTAGTGACAATAGAAGTGGTGATCATAAAACTTGTCAATTTTATTCTGATTCTATTTAGTATTTTAAATGGTAGATTTAAATCTATTGACAATTGGTTATATATGAGATTAGTTTCCATCTAGAATAGTTTAATTGGTTATATCTTAAATTATGAAATTGAATGGCGGAGGGGGGTAGTTCAAATCATCAACTGAACATCAAACCTTTTTAAGATTGTAAATGTGCACTGTTAATTAGTCATAATTAACACAAGAACTTATATCAAATAGGGTTATCCTGTTGACTGATTTCAATTACCTGATATTAAAAGATTACTCAATGTTGTACTCTAATGTAATTCTAGCCTTATGAATAATATGGAGATTCTTATATTTTATGATTATACTAGTATGCTGCTTTCGTTTATAGTCGAATATTTAAGATTGTTAATTGTCAATGAATAAAAAGATGTATTATACATTAGAACTGTCTGATATTTGTTGTTTGTTTTCATAATACGTTTAGTAAAATGCTAATTGACTTTATCAGTACAAATTAACTTAATCATTTGTTATGTGGTTGGAAGTAATCATGAGAAACCCTTAGAGCAGTAATAGATTTCGCTAGTTACCGAGTTTCATATTCTGGTTCTTTTTTTTATAAGATGAGATTGTTAACCCCTTATACACAATTCTTCTTCTTCATCTCGACTTTCAATCGGTAGTACACTTAAATGGGCTCCGGGTGAAGTATCTGCCATCAATATGTACGTGCAATCTTGAATGAACTAATTCTTAATGCAGAATTTGAATCCACATCACTCAAATTTACAGTCTAGGACGCTACCGTTGAGATATTCAGGCTGATGTTTAAATAAATGGTTAACTGTATATGTTATCAAGTTTCACAAACACATATCATTGCATACTTATTATTTACACCACTGAAAGATGTATTTTTTTTTAAAGAAAAAGAGAGATTATTCCAATGACTGGAATCATGAATCAGTTGAAGCTAGAACACCATGAAAAACCTGGGAGCACTGGACGGCCATTTCTTCCTAATATGGGACTCTTCAGCAGTGCACATCCATGATCCTGCATCCTGTGAGATTCGAACCCAGGACCTGGTAGTCTCGCGCCAGACACTTAACCAACTAGACCGCTGGGTCGGCCGGCATCCAACGGTGTTGGTGTCTAACTTCAACCAATCCACGAAGTTGCACCACCGTAGACCATTTTCTCCAGTGAGTTCCTATCTCACAATAGACCTAGTTGAACTCCACTAGTAAAGGCTCTTCACTAGAACTCTAGGAGTATCTCTTGAAGTCAGTCACTAGTGAGTAGATAATTATTATCAGAGGGGGTTTTGTGGAGATTTTAGAAATTTCACTGGTTGAAATCATGCCGGCTCAGTGGTCTAGTTGGCTAAGCGCCTGGCACGAGACTGATAGGTCGTGGGTTCGAATCTCGCGGGATGCGGGATCATGGATGCGCACTGCTGAGAAGTCCTATACTAGGACGAAACGACCGTTCAGTGCTTTCAGGTTTTACATGGTGTTCTAGCTTCAATTGACTCATGATTTCAACCAGTGAACTTTCTAAAATCTCCACAAAACCCCTTCTGATGAGAGATTATTATAAAATTCAGTAGTATATATAAACTCTGGGCAGCATCATTGATGAACACGCTAGATCTGATGCAGATGTGAAAGCGCGGGTCGGTAAAGCAAGAGCAGCACATCTACAACTGAAGAACATCTGGAACTCAAAGCAACTGTCAACCAACACCAAGGTCAGGATTTTCAATACAAATGTCAAGACAGTTCTACTGTATGGGGCAGAAACCTGGAGAACTACGGAAACCATCATCCAGAAAATACAGGTGTTTATTAACAGTTGTCTACGTAAAATACTTCGGATCCGTTGGTCAGACACTATCAGCAACAACTTACTGTGAGAGAGAAGAAACCAGATCCCAGTGGACGAAGAAATCAGGAAGCGGAGAAAGTGGATAGGACACACATTGGGGAAAGCACCCAACTACGTCACAAGACAAGCCCTCACATGGAATCCTCAAGGCCAAAGGAAAAGAGGAAGACCAAAGAACACATTACGTCGGAAAATGGAGATAGATATGAGGAAAATGAACAAGAATTGGATGGAGTTAGAAGAGAAGGCCCAGGACAGAGTGGGTTGGAGAATGCTGGTCGGCGGCGTAAGTATGTAAGTAAGTAAGTAAGTAAGTATATATAAACAAAGTATCAAAGAAAATAAAGAAAGAATAGTTACTTTAATAGTTTCATCTAATTTTCATTTATATATTTTTTCTTTATGTTTAAATTTTAGAAACAACCTAAGGTTGGTTGATCACCTATAAACTTTAAAAATTCGTAGAAAAGTCACCGTTATTTTTTTAAAAAAAACACAATTAAGTATAAGCACTGAATAGTTGTTGTTGTTGTTGTTGTTGTTGTCAATGTGTGTTCTGCATATGTTATTTTGTCAATAGTTTTGTTCATATGATGTTCGGTGACAAGTTTGTTTATTTATTATATATATATAATTCATTTACTGTACACTTTGTTCCTTCAAAAAATGTAATGACTGAAAAGATGTTCACTTACTCGGTTATTGAGTCACATTCTATCATATGAAGTGTAGTGATATTTACTGTTGAGTTGTTTAATTAAATGTGATAAAGGGGAAAACATCTTAACCTGAATATAACAAATTGAATGTACTAAATACATTGATTAATCAGTCAATTTTGAATAAGATAAAGTATTAAAGTGTTGTCCCTAATGTTAATGATAACAAAAGTGAAAATGTTTATTCAAAAACATTGAAGAATGAAGTAATAACGTTGTCTGTAAAAACAGTTGGAAATATACATATTTTAAATATTACTGATATCATGAATCGATCTAAGTTAGATATCGGTCGGAAACCATGAAACACTAAACAGTTGTTTCATTCTAGTTTTCAACATTTTAGCCCTACTTAATCACTAACCTGTTATGGGGAATCGAACCTCGTACTTCCGATTCCTCTGTAAATGCTTGACCATTCAACCAATGGGCTGACATCATATGGTGTATATGTCTAACTTTAATCAATATTTGACATTGCTTAACCATATTCATGATATTAAAACACATACAATACTACTCAAAACGCCTATATTGATACTTTAAATGTTTCACAAAAAAATCTAATTTCAATAGAGTAAATTTCAAATTTCCTTTCAGTGTTTCATTTCTATAATATCATTTTGTGTTTTGTAAGTTAAGTTTTGTCGACGATTTTTTTTCACTGTACAAATATTGTTTCCATCTTTCGATTTGTGTTTGGATGATTCTTTCAGTTGCCATGACTACCGTTAGTATTGTTATTATTATCGTTTCTTAATTATTATGTCAATATATATTTCATTTCAAATCTGTTTAGCAGGCTACAGTTATTCTACCATCTGGAAAACCGGTATGACTTAATAAGATTCTATAACCATATTGATTGTTTTAATTATGTCTTTTTTTTACTGAATAATTTGTTTATTGCACTGTTTTTGTGATCTTTTTTTTGTTTACTGCACTAATTAACATCTAAATCTCACACATGTTTTTGTGTCGTTTGAATTGAAAGTTTTGACAAACTACGTTCATCATTAGACTGAAATTGAAAATTTTAAGTTAATGAATTCTACTGAAAGGATAGGAAAATATTACGTTTATTTCTAAACCAAAATAATATTGAGTACTAAATTCATTTTGTATTGTTTGTTTGAATCTTATCATTAATGTTTAAGACTGCAATTGACATATATAAATCCTGTGAGAATTGCCGCGATCCAACTGACGAGTCCCAGATAGGACAAAACGTGCGTCCAGAATTTCATTGCTGGTCATTTTCTATTTTTGTCTATAACATTGAGTTCTTTTCCTGACAAAAGCATAAGTCTGCACAATTGAGGAATTATGGATTAGGACGAAACAAATGTCTAGTAATTCTTAGTTTCTAATGATTCTTCGTTTGACGCTGTTATATATAAGAATCTAACTTCAAATTTATTTGATTCACTGATACACTAGAAAATGCTTCAATTATTTACATCCTTTATTAGTATTCTGTCTTGAACATCAATGAGATTTTATTTGAAAAAAACTTCTTTTGAGTCAACTCATTACAATCATGTTTTAGACTCATTAAATATATTATATGATTAATGAATATATTCTAATATCCATCTTTCAGATACTTCTTTGTCTAGTATTTTGTTGAGGTTTATCCAAATGGGATTGAATCTCAAGTTATTTGAATAATCCTTCTTAATAGTAACCCTTATATACCATAACACTTTAATAAACTTAACTTTAATTAGAATAAGAATGAGTTGGAAATAAGAAATAAGTCAATGAATCGTAAATCATAGTATGGAATAATAATAAGAACGCTAAGGTTTATATTGAGTTTGTAATAGAAACATTGAATAACTTCTTAATTCATTCAGCAGTGCTAACTAATTAGAAGTGGATTAAACAAAGTGGTTGAATTCCCATCTCCAAGAATGTTCATACATGAGAGAGTTCCTGATAGCGTTAAATCATTATCAAATGATAAATAAGCTAACATGATTAAAAACAGAACAAATTCTTTCTAATAAGATCCAAATTGTATTTTTTTGTTTCCTGAAATCACAGTGAACATTTAAAACTCATTTGCACTTTTCTAGAGTTTTCGATTGTCCAAGTTAGATGATTTAACTGCGAAGTTTTCATTGTCATTCTAGGGAACATCATTAGTTTTTATTTATTTTCTATACGGAGTAAGAGCTGATAATGTTATTCAGTTTGACAATGAAAGCTTTTCAATTAAACTATATAGCTTAGAGAACCTAAAAATCCTGAGAAAGAATTTTTCCTGCTTATGAATTGTATAATAAGTTAACATTAAATTGAAGGTGTCGTTAGGCGGTCACAAATAACCAATAAATCTTTCATTTCGTCCTATAAATCTTCATTGTATTGATCATTTGTAATATTTAAATGAGAAAATCTCTTGAATGTGAAAGAAAAATAATTTTTTAATGAACTTATCACAAATGCAAGTAGCAGATTTTGATGGAGGTCCATTCTCTGAGCTGGATGGTTTCATCGTTCCTCTGAATAACATCATCAGCACACAATTCAAGTAGAAGTGAAGTGTTCGGATTTCTCCACATATGACTGCCAGCTTGTCAAGATTGAGGTCTACAAGACAAACTGGGAGTTATATACGGAGAAATTCGAACACTTCACTTCTACCTGAATTTTGTGTTGATGATGTCAATCAGAAGAACGATGTAAGCTCCATGACCAAACCATTCAGCTCAGAGAATAGAACTCCACCAAAATCATTTACCTGAGCTACAGATCTTCTCCACTATCTCGAAAGTAACAAATTTACTTTATGAAGATTAAAAATTCCGAATATCTGTTCGATGGTATATTTTATTAAAGTATTGTAGAACCAATTCAACGGAATTTATCAACAATTCATGTTTATCAAAGTCATAAATACTGATAAGGTAAATTTGAATTTAACATTATGAACTGACTTCAGCCAAGTAAACACTGAATAGTTATGTCTGATTAGCTCATCAACGATTTAACTCGACACTTAAAGACCTCTTAGCTAATATGTTATCTCCAGACAACTGGGTTGTTTATAGCAAAAAGCCCTATCAGTAACATAAATCAGTGCCTCACTCAAATCACAACCTTGATAATTCAGTTTCTTTTCAAGATATTACAGTAACCAATAGTTTCTATTTTTTAACTCCAAACAATTCGAAATATCTCAATGGTTAAGATCATGAGTCAGTTGAAGCTAGACCACCATGGAAAACCTGGAAGCACTGGACTGCCCTTTCCTTCTTATTGTGGGACTCCTCAGCAGTGCGCATCCACGACGTCGCCCCCTGCGAGATTCTTGGATGCGCACTGCTGAGGAGTCCGGTAGTAGTGCGATATGATATTGTTGGTATTGAATTAACATAAAGTATGTTCAGCATGACATATAAGTGATTTTTTCCGAATTAATAATCGATTAGGTTTGAAAATTAATATATAAATGAGTGTAATTTTGACTCGGGTTGTCACGTATTTTGAGATCAATAGATCTTCTTTTGTATCAATCTTTTATGCTCTTACTTCACATCTTAGGAATTGTAGGGGTTCTCCATTCTCATGTGTAAGTAATATGTAAGGCGGATTTAACACTAGCAACCATTAGTTATAACATATAGACGGGTGGATTTCAGCATGTTTGTTTATAAATGGTATGTTCATCGCGAGTCCTGGGCAATGTATGCTTGATCCCATATAGGGTCATAAGTGTTTACTGTCTAAAATCAGTTGTCCAATGTTTTCTATTTTCCAATATTTGAATGGTATAAGTCAATCTCTAATTTAATCTGTCAATTGAATAATCTCTACAAATTTATGTTAATGAAAAGGCAAATCTCATTTTCAGCTAGTCTTAAAATCTTCATGCTTTCATTTCTAACATTTACATTCCATAAAAAAACAGTCTAATTTATTTATTGTTCACTATGAAATTCGGTGTAAATTATTTTGGTTCAGTGAATTTACTTATATATGCACACACACACACACACACTTCAAGATTTTCAAAGAACGTCTATCGTTGTAATTGAATATCATCTATTTCGACCAATCAATCTGAATCACATGCAATATATTTTATTGTTTAAAAGCACACAAAAGATTTCAATGTTTTAATTTATTTGGTATTGTTTACTTGAATCTTTCCATTAAGGTCTAGGACTGCAATTGATTAGTTTTTTATATTACTTTAATTCACAAAGATGGATAGTGACAAGCGGTGTAATCCAGGACGGATGTTTCATCCTATTTGGGAAATGTCAGCTAGATGTGCTTGCATCTCAGATTTGATGTTCACTTTGAGACTCGAACTCAGTACCATTCGCTTCAAACGCCATCTCGTTATCCACTTACCTACTGATTTCTGATAGCCATTTGCTTGTGCAATGTGGTGAACTTGAAATTCATTTGGTATTGTTTACTTGAATCTTCCCATTGATGATTAGGACTGCAATTGATCAGTCTCTGAGATGCAGGTACGTCGAGCTGACAAGTCCCAAATAGGACAAAAAGTGCATCCTGGATTCCACTGCTAGCCATCATCCATCTTTACTTATAATGTTCCAATATTTTGTTTTTTAAAAATAACATCAGTTTGTTAAATTACACCATATAATCATATGTTTATTTTCATAGTTCATTTTAAGTTTCATGAGCTTATATTATGTTTGAAATGGATGACTGCTTTCATTTTCCTAAAATGGTACACTGTTCGACTTTGTTTATTTTGTTTTTCTTTTATTGATAAAGTTACTAATAGTGTGAAGAAGATGGGGTCTTATCCTTTGTGTATATCTAAATAATCATTTATAAAGTATTGACTAAATTTCGAATAAATATAGATTATGTAAGACTCTCTTCAACCACTACATATCTTAGCAGACCTCTTGGTATATCGAGCAAATGACATTGATGGTCACATTAGGAGTCGATCGATAGAATTTGATTAGCACTTAAGGCATTGAATAAACATAGCATTAATCAGTCAATCACAAGTGTCTCAGTCCTAAAAATTTTTTATCAAGTCTCGGATGGCTCAGTGGCAATGTCTAAGATTACAATGCTGATGGACATGTGGTCAAATACGTCGAGAAGCTGCAGTGTACTCAAGATTACAGGTACACTTTACTGACAAGGGCAAAATAGCTCGATAACTAGGTCATACAGGGTATCCTATCGATTACCTCCAACCACCTTTGTATTGTATGAAATACACTTTTGTAGACTATTTCACCAAAAACTGATGTTTGTTAGTGAATCATTGTTACCTGGAGTCATCGAACGGTTGGTTTGTCATAATTTAGGATTTTCTAGCAGTTGGCACCTATTATCTTACATGGAGCAAATTAGGAATTTTTAAATCGTTCTTCAAGAAAAATTCATTCAGACTAACAAGATCACGTTTAAATATACCTTGAGGAATAATTTGACTAATCTATTGCCTCGAATTGAGAATTTGACATAGTCAAGAGTAAACTGACTTTACTTAGATTTCACAAGTTGAAATCATGAGTCAATTGAAGCTAGACCACCATGGAAAACCTGGAAGCACTGGGCGGCCGTCTCGTCCTGGTATGGGACTCCTAAGCAGTGCTCATCCACGACCCAGCGTGATTCGGACCCAGGACCTACTGGTTTCGCGCGCGAGAACTTAACCATTAGACCACTGAGCCGGCATCCAACGGTGTTACTGTCTTAATGTATTATTTGATAGGTAAAGAAAAAGTTGATGATTTAAGTAATTTTCTACATTATATCTTACAAATTTAAACATGCCACTATAGTTGTTTATCAAAAAGCAAACCTTATACCCGATTGAACATAAACGTACATCGATATTTTCTTCCTCTCATAAGTGATAACACTAAGTTCAACTTTATCATAGTACATTAGAAGGATATTATACCTGCCTGTGAATTAATAGCACATCTGTCTTTCAATGGTCAATACGTGTGTAATATCTAGTATTCTTCCATTCATTTAATAGGTAGACATTGAGTATAAGAACCTTATATTCACTGACAATTTCATTTCATGCTCTAACTTTTACTTCAATTGTTGTTTTCATCTAGCAAGTTAGGATGTGCTCTAGTGTCCTGTTTTAATAGAAGATATATGTATATAGCATAATATGATTGAAATGAAGTCCCTTGCAAAAAATTATACTCTTATTGGTAGTGTTTAATCGTTAGAAATGAACGGGAAATATGCTCAAGAACGCCAGATAATGCACTTTGCTGAACATTAAAAAAGAGTGGCTATTGTCATACACACACACACACACACTAGACTGACCAAACTAGACTTCTACTTTCAAATCAATAACTATAGTTGAAATGGAGAGATGAGATCGTAGTATTTCGAAATATATAGTTGTCGAAAGGTATTGTATTCTCTATGATAGTCAAAAGGTTCTGGTTTTCATTTTAGTGTATGTATGTTTGGTCATGATTGCAAATGATTGATGAGTCATACAAAAAAAGAAATTAATTCTACGCCATTTCTCTAATTGAACTCATTTCCATAAACTACCTAATGTAACAGTGGAATAAATCTAGCATTTACAATTTCCCTATTGTAAACATGCATGACTGAAAACTAGTGTTTACTAAAAAAGAACATCATTCTTACTATATATCACTTAAAACTGGCCACTCCCCATAGTAATAATAATGCCTATTCTTCTTCTTCTTCTTCTTCTTCCTCTTATTATTATTATTATTAAGCATTAATCATTTTCTAGACTCTTGAACTGATAAAGTCACTGTTAGGTTAATTATTGGGTTTTGTCGTAAAACCAGATAGGTTATAGGGAAAAAAAGTTCAGCAGATTATAGATTTGAGGTTTTAAATCACAAACTGACATTTGTTAGACACTTATTAAAGACATAGAAGCACCATTATATTTTAGTAATGAACTTCGCAAAAAGGTGCACCAACTATCCCACCAAAAATCGAACCCATTATCTTCAGGTCTCGCTGTAAGAGCTTAACATCCAGACTGTGGTCGTAATCACTTACATTGTTAATATTTTTTTAAGAGTTTAAAAGTTGAAATCTACAAAAGGCTTGCAATGAAGCCTAAAGAATCTGGGTTTGATCCTTTGTATTGTTTTGAATGTGCATTACTGAAGAATCCCATAATGGGCAAAACAGTTGCCCAGTGTCTCTTGGTTTTTAATAGTCGTTTAACTAAAGTCAGTCTGTGATGTTATACCATTTTAATTCAACAGTCTCCAAAACAATCACCAAGAAGCTAGATTGGCTAGATTGTATTGTATCATATTACTATTTTTAATTTTGACTTTAAGGCTGAAATACAATTACACAATGCAATGATTGATGCTACTAGAAGTGCAAATAATTTAGAACGTTGTGTACTTGATTTTGAAGGTCGTCGATTGAAAGGTTTAAAAGTAAGTGCATAAGTTATTTATTAACCTTTTTCATACAATAGACTTATTGTATACTAAAATCTATTTCTATAATAGTTATTATACTTATATCTGTTGACATCAGTAACATACACCACGACGGTAATAAAACGAATCTGAACCGAGTAGTTTGCATCTGTTAAATGTCTCTATCCAATAGTCAGAGACTTCACGAACTGATGTCGTGTCTTGGTTTGGTCTCCTCTAGCTTTTTTCCAACCTTCTCTCAAGTCGGCAAACATCGGGTTAAGATACATTATGGTTAAAGAGATATGATTCATATCTCGATCATTTATGTCAATGAAGACTCACTACTTTACTAACTAATTTGACATGTTTATCTAGTACTCCGTGTCTAAAGCCAGCATTTTTCATTCCGTAATCTCAACATAAATCATAGAGACTTCGAACACGTCTATGATCAAATCCTAGTAATCCACAAATATTTTTTTATTTTCAAAGGCCTCTTTTTACACCCATACAGTTGAACAGAATGGACCGCTGCACAGCATATTCAGTCTCTGTTTAGCAAGAAGATGGAAATTTGACCCATGTCACAAGTAATGTAAGTTGGCAAAAGTCAACTAGGCTTTCGTCAGACACCGACCCAGCGATGCTGATGACACTTTCTAGTGGTCGATTCGCTCAACTAATTCGTAAACTATCATTAGTTCAAGGGTTGTCACAGATCAGCCCTAAAACACTTTACATCTAAAAAATGAAATGCTATCCAAACCTACTTGTATTGTTGTTCAAAGTGATCAGTCGCTTATTTAGAATTCTCCTAGTTTAGTACTATTAGTTCTGATTGAAATAACATGAAGTTTTAAATCATAAGTTTACACTGTCTTAAAGAAAGTATAAACTCGAATGAAGCCCTTTTTCAATACTCGCCAGTTTTTTCAGTTGTTATTTAGTTGAAGCTTGTCAATAATAAAAATCTTTAATTTTAGTAAATCATATAGTTAAACAAAAAATGAAGTAATGAACAATAATAACAACTCATTCCAGTCAATTCCGGATAAAGCCAATATTCTGCGGCTTGATCAATGATTCATGTTTCTAGTGAAAAGCCGTGATCAGTGGAGCTAAACCTTGTCAGGCTTGATGAAGGTAATCATCAAAGACAATGAAATATGGTCACACACCAACGTGGAATTTTTGAAGTTAGACTTGTACACGATTGTATTTTGAACCAGTGGTCTAGAGGTTAGGTGTTTGCATGGTTAGACCGAAGGTATTGAGTTTGAGTCCTGGATGCGAGGTTATAGATATGAACTGCCTAGAAGTCCCACATTAGGATAGAGCGACCGTCCAGTGTTTTCAGGTTCTCAATAATTGTCTAATTTTGATCGGTTCGTTATTTGAACGAAATTCAGCAACCTCCACGACCTCATACTGAATATACATCCAAATTTAGACAAAGATTTTTCATGACATGAAAAGAGTGAATTTGATTTTTAATTATTTTTTGTAATTATTAATTGCATTTGCTATTTTATTTAGAGAATTATAACTGATTTTATTCAAATTGAAATGTTGTGGCATGCTAAAGCATTGGAAACATTAACTTCAGCTTATAATGCAATTCAATTATTACATGAAGAAGCAGATCTAATTGAATTTCGTGGTACACTACTACGTTCTGGAAGTAATTTAACCATGCTAAATAATAACAATAATCTTCCAATCAGTCAACAAAGTCTAACTATTGGTGATCAGTCGTCACCAATGATTTCTCCGCCAGTATCAATAAGAGATCATCGATCGTATCGGCCGTCATCATCTGTACATAGTTCAATGAATTCAATGAAAACTGGTAGTCGTTGTAGTTTAACATCATTAGGTCGTAATAAAAAGAAAAATCAACAACTACAAGGTCAAATACAACAACAACAACAACACGATCAACTTTCCTACTCCCAACAGTTACAGCAACAAAGACAACATTCCGGCATATCACATCAGGTAATTGTTTATGCCACAGCTGCCTTTATCATACATATATTATTTTAACATATAAACATGTTATATTATTTACAAGATAAGTTAATATTCAGTCAACTATTTCATTGATTGAGATGATTAGGACACGTGTTACACATGCTTATTCATTGTCTACTTCAAAGAGAAATGTTAGCTGGTGTATAGGAGCAAGTTGGAAGAAAGCTATGAGTGGTCAAACTGAAGTATAGCTATCAGTTCAAGAAATTACTATTAGTTTTAGTCATGTAGGTAAGTGTGGATGACCTAGTTAATATCTGAACGACCAGCTGAATATTATACAATAATATTGTTTTCACAGTTGAATCATTAAATATAACAATTAAACAGTTCTGATTGAGATCATGAATGGATTAATGTTAGACCATCATTGAAAACCAGGAAGCACTGGACGATCGTCTTGTCATTGTATGGGACTCCTCAGATCACTGTTCTAGAGACAAGGTGTTGACGTGCAAGACCAGTCTTGGATTCGAATCCCTCGTGCGGGATTGTGAATGTGCACTGCTGAGGAGTCCCATACTAACGATTGAAGTGATCTTAAGGGTAATGAATTATTGCTCTTGTTTTCAGTCAGTCTTAACATTCGATTAGCATGTATTCAGTAACTGCACAGTTTCATTGCCAACATTATTGAAATCTAATAGTTCTATTCTGGTTTTTCCTCCATTAAGTCACTTCTCGATATTTACACCGGTTCTATCTAACGTCAAAACATTGTTTACACAATTTTGAGTAAGTTCGACTGGTGATGACATTGAAAAATAATAAATAGACTTTAGCCAACTCAGCGGGATGAAAAAACAGGTTAAATAGGCAATCAAAATATTTTAGTTCTACAGGAAGTCAGTCACCATCTGAATAGAATAATGGAAACACTTTTAATTCTGTCACTGAGAAAATGCGTGTTCAACATAAATGAGGATCATCAGTTCCTTCAAGACTTCATATTACATCATATTAATGAGAAGCAAACGGCATGACACTTAGATTCCACCGCAAAAAAGCGTTCCTCTACATCGATGAAAGGCATTAAGTGAATATTTTCGGATAGGGTGTCCAGTTGTTATTCAACTATTTTTTCCTAACCAATTCCAGTCCATAAAATCAATCATCCGAATTCATGATTTATATTTTGTTTAAGTATTTAATTAGAAAATTTTCATTTTTTATTGGGTTGTTATTTCATGTTCTGTTTCTAAACTTTTTTTCGTTTACAAAAATTTATTCGAACGGAAATACTAAAGCAGAATGATGATGTAACAAGTTTATTTACTGAAGGAGACGATGATATTAGCAGTAGCCACAATGTTCAAGAAAAAGTAGATAATAGAAACTCAGTGAATGGTTTACAAGATCTCGAAGATGATGATGATGATGATTTCGACGAAGAAGACAACACAGAAAATGATGATGATGAAGATGCTGAGGAAGATGAAGACGGTGAATATATGGTAAACAGTACTACTCATTCACCAACACGAATATTAAATCATTCTGTATCATCCCCAGCTGCGAATAGAATATCTGGATCCACGCAACATTCGCCATTGAAATCTGCACTAAAAACTGGAATATCTAAATTATAATGACGTGATATTTGGTTTTCTATTTTGTTGGTAGTAAATTTATCCTTTCATAATTATTCATCCATATATTAGTTCTCTTTAATAAAACAACAAATAAACTGTATATGTATAACAAAATAACAGATTGTCTGAACAACTGCACATATTTTTTAATAGAATTCACCGTTCTTGTATTGAATATAAGTTGGTTTATTTTAATTCACTACACATTACATGACACTGAATCACTCAATATTTCGCGAAAAAAGGTTACTTATCTGTGTATATTACTTATTTCTCAAAAAAGTAGTATAACTGTGTCGCATAAATTTATTGTCACATTTATCTCGTTTTTATATTTGATTTCATGTTCTTAGATTTTTCAATGCAAATTTAATAATGATAATATTTATTAATAATGGTTGTGGTTTTCTGTTAAACAATTAATTATACTCAATAATCCAATTACATACTATCTTTTGTATAAAAATCTTATTCGTTGAATTTCTTAGTTTGTAAATTCAGATAATCAGTAATATATATATATATACATTTGGTCAAATTGTGAATGTGTTCATTGAAGTGTACTTTATCCCTATCCTAAATTCTGTCACTATTGACAAGTACTTTTTGGTATTATATAGAAAAGAAAAAAACAAGATGTATGTTTTGATATTAGAAAAGAAATATATTACTGAATTCAAATGAATTGTTCTGACTAAAGATAAAAGGACAATAAACATTCATCGAAATTCTAGTTTAATTGGTTTGAATGAATCTTTTTTTTGAGAGACAATGAAAATTTAAAACTGGATAGAAAACTGTTATAACTTGTGAATATGTGTGCCATGTTTATTGTATAACGCAACGATACCGCCAGTCAGAGAGCAGCGAACTATCGATCGAACCAGTGACGCATAAAACACGTGCGAGCAGCCTAGAATCCTGATTGGTCCTGCTCTCCGCTTAGCCCAGCCAGTTAAGTCCAGAACACCAATCTCAGCCTCCGTGATATGAATCATGTATTTCAAACATACTGGGTTTATATACAAATCAAACAGACCACATCACACTATAAAATAGAAAATAACATTTGTACAATATTTGGCCAAAAGTGGCTGTGAATGAGGGAGGTAGTGATTAACAGACAGGGAATAATTCAAGAATGGTAAATCGTATAATAATACTTCATAGGTCAAAATAAAACTCATAATAAGAGGGACATGAATATGAACAGTTTAGTTACCTAACAATTACACGATAAAATGTACTCATAGTATTGGTCCTTAAATGGATCCCAAGAATTATCATTCACTATTCTTATCGGGAGATAACAAAAACTGATATGGCTCTATGTATGGAATATGATAGATAGAGGTTTATTATTCATTGGAAATAGATTGAAAACTATTGCTTAGACTATTGATTTTTATATATTCTCTTTATGATAAGTCTTCAAACTGGAACTCTTCTAATTAATTTCAGGCTGAATCTACATGGCAACTTGAATACAAGAGGAATGAGTAGAAGATTAGTGAGAAAGATCTGTTCGACTCTTAAAATAGATCGAAATAACTTAAGAATACACCACTATTTATATGATTGATTTACAATAAGATTAACAGTCACATTTGTATGAATTGAATCGAGTAATTCAATGACTTACTATACGAACACGAATTTACATTATTATACAACTAAATATCTATTATCCTTCTTACGATATGATGAATACATGTCATACACGACTGGAAAAATTAGTTTCATATATCATTCTCATTCCATTTAACTGAGCTATTACTTGCTGTATCAATTTACACCAATTATTAGTCAGATTTTTAAAGCTTTCAACTTCATATTGATGTAAGACGGTTGGAGGTTGTTTATAGGTGACTATTAACCTACATTTTGTTCCATCCGTCAGCACGGCATACCTGTACATCTTGACAGAGTGCATACAATGTCAATTCACATAGACTATTGACCATGTTATAACTTAATAGGTAGAATTCTATTAGCACTAAGAAGGATTCGACATAAATGACACTTATCACAACTCACTGATCAGTCAGTTGTAAACTGTGTAGCATTAAACGTTACTTTAGTCAATGATTTACTGTAGGAACACAATTTAAGATATCACGAGACTAAGCCTCTATAAGCAAGAAATGTAACTTATTTACCGAGCTATGATATTAATCCTTCCTAGAATACGCTTATTAATAACTCGAACTACTGAGCATCTTGTAAGAGACCAAGTTCAAATCTTTAACTATATTTTTGATAGATATGACAATAGGTCTAGTTTCTCTGGTTTACAATATAAACTACTTTTTATCATCAGTCTAGGGGTTGTGGAGATTGTTGAGTTTTTGATTGAGATCATGAGCTGATTGATGTTAGGCCAACATTGAAAACCTGGAAGCACTGGACGGCCGTTTCGTCCTATTGTGGGACTCCTCAGCAGTGCGCATCCACGATCCCGCTCGCAGGATTCGAACCCAGGGCCTTCAGTCTCGCGCGCGAACGCTTAATTTACTGGACCACTGAGCCGGTATACAATGATGTTAATGTCTAACCTCAACCAATCCACGAAGTTGTGCGACCATCTTCCACTGCACTGAGGTAGACACCTGTTTCTACCCAACACGGACCGCCGTGACCACTGGAGCTAATCCGTACTTCTTATCAATTATCTTCGAGGATTTATCACTGAAGTTAGTAAATACCGTTTATCAGTTCATGGACTGGAAATCTCAGTTAATAGTTACACTCTGTCAGAACTTATAAGTTTAACAATCTGCTTATGATTAATATCTAATAACTCGAGGTGATCTCAGGTTCTATTAGAGGTATGAAATCGGTTATCATATGACGGTTACCTATAACGTGAAAGTGTGATTTTTCGAGAAGCTTTTTGAGGGAAAACTGGGCTATAAGTTGAGTTAACAACCTGAAACCGAGACTACAGAGCCTGTTACCCATGGCTATTTTTCGAGTAGTTTCCGATGTATTTGCTTCGTAATTTTAAGGTCTGTAGGGCAAGGTAAGGCATGCTAGTTTCAGAGTTAAACTAAGTTGATCATTGTAGGGAGACATAGTCTTTACAGATAGTGGTTGTCTGAGGGAAGCACTTTATTTTTATCATTTCATCCTGTAACCAGTTGGTAATTTTAAATTTTCACACGGATCAATTTTATCCAACGAATTCATTTTCAAATTGTTTCACACCACAAACTGTGATACATACTGGAAAATAACTGAAAATCAAGAGACTGACAGAAGTTCGGAATATTAATTATAGGTTTTAAATTTATAGATCTAAACGTATCGTTGTATGCTAGGGTTGAAGCTATCACGAGTCCACTTAATCTGCGAACGAGAAACAAGACTCGGTGACCAAAGACCAGTAAGCTAGCTATTGATGCGTCCCAGCCCCGCTAACTAGAGGGAGAAGTCCAAGCTTGGAATGGGGAAGTATATTCTGCAAACAGCCAGAAACGAGCGATCACAACAAACACAATTCAAAACGTATATATATACAGTGCAAAACTGTCCTTGGGGAGAGTTACCAAATAGCATACTAAAAGACGCAACGGACCAATAGCATTTAAGATATTTCCCAGTGGAAAATACGACATGAAGGTGACAAGAGCGCCTTTGGCGCGAAAACAAAGAAGTTCAAATTTTCCAAATAAAATTACAAAATTAAGTCCTTTCCCAAGTGAGTTCTGGGGATCTAACATCCCCAACAGTTTAATTGTATATGGGGTTATATGTGCATACTAACTAGTATAAACTGTTCAGGAATAGGAAGAAACGGTTATTTCGTATTCACTGTTTTTTCTGTAATTTTTATGAATGGTGTCAGTTCATCATGAAAACTAGTTTAAATGATAATTTCCGTTCGAATAATAATCTAACTCCAATTCGTTATATTTTAGTGTTCTAATTCGATTAGGTCATATAAACAATAAAATTTAGGACACATTGTAGTAAACTCATTTATTTACCAAGTATGCTATACTGTATAAGAGTGATAAATGTCAATATATGTTCATTTAACCCAGTTTTGTCATGATATAACGATTTTCTTTTACCCTAAAATTCGTGTTTTACTTCATATTACCTTAAAAGTATATAATGTATCAGATAAACAGTTTCATCCTTCTGTTATTGTGCCAATCAGATTTAAGGTAGCGTGTCTTGGAGTTTAACGCGGAATTCATTCGTCCGTATGTCCAAAAAGGGGTGGGGATAAATTCCACACTCAATCTCAATTTTGACCTTGGACCTGGCAACCAACTGTAATGAAGCGGAATTTACTCGATCGTAATTCATGATGGAAAGAGTCTTTCACTTGTTGTTGTCTTTGTTGGCTTACACAGATAACGGAAAGTTTTCTACGATGAAAATGCCGTTTCACCATGCTGCGGACATTTAAGATGTAGTGCAGTCAGTCTTTATAGAAGAAAAATTACAATATAGCAAATGTCATGCTTCCAACTAATTCTACAACAGAAATTATTTTAAAATATCGACAACTGAGTGACTGAATAAATGAAAACATGACCGTAATTACAATGTAGAGTTTATCCCCAAACCTAAGTAGTACTTTGGGATTATAGCTGATGTTAGTTCGTGATGAAAACTCCCAACTCTAATCTATAAACCTAACTTCTAACTCTAAATCGCGATACTGACTTCTTATACTAAATTATGGTCTTCTTTAGATTCTACTGGAAAGGTGAACTTTCTCAACGTCACGTTGAGGTCGTCCATAAATGGTTGTCCTACTAGACTGTTAATTAGATGGGCTTACCTAAGAATCTGAAAAGCTGATTTGATAGTATTTCATACAATTCTTGTAAAGTAGCATTCATAATTTTAATATTCGGTCTGGAGGTGAATTTATACACCTATTTCCAAAGCGTTCGATTATCTGATTCAATCATTTTCTTGGAATCGTTAAGCAATTAAAGAGTAAAACTTGCATGTTGATTAATTAATGATATATTTTCAAAATTAAATAGGGATGGCTGAAAATGAACTTGATCATGAACCAGACTAAATCTTTCATTGATTATACCATCTAAAGATTGTGATGTAAACTATAAGTTGTAGTGAATAAACAGAGTCTTATCATGATCACGATTCAATACTACTTAGAAAACCGCTGAAAACCATCAATATTAGACGTCTGTTTTGTCCTAGTATGAAACTTCTCAGGATTCTAGAGTTTTAGAACTCACCTCAAGAATTCAATTTCCTACGTCCCATCCGCAGTGACAGGTTTTTGTGTGCTCACTGCCGAGGAATTCCATACAAGAACAAAAAAGTTAGGTAGAATCCCATGGTTTTCAACAGCACTCCAAATATAATAGATCTGTAACGAATTCAGCCTATAAAAAACCTAAAGTCCTCAAAATTCCTATGATCTTATTGTTTAAATCTTAATAGTGGAGGATTAACCAATAGACATCAAAATGAAAATATTGAAAGCTTCCAATTTAAGACGAAATTAGGGAAAGACGGTTTAGTTGCATAGTACATACATTATGGAAATCCCAAAACTGCATCACAAGATAACCCCTAACTCGGAATCCTTAAGGAGGGAAGGAGAAGAGGAATACCAAGTTACACATTGAGCTGAGAAATGAAATTAGACATCAAAATAACTGGAAAGGAATATCAAAGACAAAATTCAATCGGAGAATCCTAGTAGGCGGTTAATGCTCCTTCATGAGGGTTAACAGGCATAAGTAAGTAAATAAGTATTTAACTTAACAAAATAGTCTAAAAACAAATTAATAGAATATATATACCAGATTAATTTCCATAAGATTTTGTTTTAATTTCAACACACAAAAATACTATATTTATATCATCATGAACTATTTCCGTACATCACATACTCGGGAAAAAAACGAAAGATTTTTATTCAAAGAAAATGTCAACACTTTAGAAGAGCAAGAAAATTACGAAAGATCTGTTGAATTGGAATACTTCAGTGTATTAATATTACTATTATTATTACCATCAGTAGTCGAGTTAATAGTATCATTATATAAATGTTGTTGAATAAATGTTTTGTGTGTAGTAACACTTGAAAATACATACCAACCATTTCCAGCTATTGATGTAATACCAATAACACGTCCATTGATATCAAATATAGGACCACCACTATCACCAACATCTGGTCCTTGATGATTACGATTAATATTAGAACAAATTGCTCCATTTGTTGGTATTTTAATATGTTTTGGACATTCACCTAATTTTATTATACCTATATAAGTAAAATTATACATAGTTATATATGTATAATATAAAAGAGAGAAGGAAAGAAAAAGAGAAAGAGAGGGAGAAAAGGAGAGAGAGAGAGAAAGGGGGAACTAGTTACTTACCTAAACGTAATTGACCTATTGAATTTTCCGTTGATTTATCTTCACCATAACCCAAAACAAAAAAATCTTCATCATTTTTTTCTGTTGTATTATTTATTGAATAATTATAATTTAATGAACCAATTTCAATCCATCCTTTCATAAGATTAAATTTTCTATTCAATGTTAATATAGATATATCAGGTGAACCACCAAATTCATCATGATTATCAATAAAACCATGATTAAGTTGATCACATTGATTTTTATAAGTGATTGGATAATTAAATTGTGTACCGAATCGAAATTGTGTATATGGTGAAAATCGTTCATCAATATGTGTTAAATTTGCATGAACCTAAAATATAAAAAAACAAAAAAACAAATAAGATCTAAGATATTTCAATATTAGTAGTGACTCAGTGGTAACGTCTCTGACTATGAAACTGAGTGATACGGGAACGAATTCGTCAGGGTGTATCAGTTCTCTCAAGATGACAGGTACACCTTGTTGACGAATGTCAAGCATTTATTATTTAGTTATTTATTTAAACACATAAACATTGGTACAAGGTGGTATTAAATATTTATGCACCACATAAATCATTCGATTTTTGTGAGAGCTGCCCCGGTGCCCAAACCGAAGCAGGTGGTTTTCATAGGGGGTGACACACGGAACCTTCGACCTAATGGTCTGATCCATATGGCAGTGGATCAACGTCGTAAACAACACCCCTGCCGCGAGAAGGTAATGAGTATCACGAAACCTAGGTCCAGGGTTTCCTGATGACTACCTCCAACTATTATCTTATCGCAACATAGTGTACACAATGTCAAGTCATCTAGACTGGTGGTTACATTGCAACTTGGTCGATAGGATTCCATCTGCATTAAGAAGGAAATGACATACATGAAATTGATCATTACCCAGTGAACAATCAATTGAAAGTGAGAAAAATAATAATTAAGTGAAGAGATTAAGAAAAGAAGTAGAATTTATCATTTTAGTTTTATAGTGGCATGGCTTCGAGATAATTCCTAAAGCTTCGTTTGTCAATCACCCTAATAATGGTTATTAAATAAACCCCAATGTTGTATAAATTTAGAAAGCAACAGAAAGCACCAACCACAGTTTATAATTGGATATCTCAGATAACAAAGTTACAAACGCACCAAGCGAATTTGAGCAGAAAGGCTAATGCGCGCGAGCAACCAAGTATAGAGGTGGATTCAGAGTCAAATCGAATCGGATCGAAGAAAGGCAATTAATCAGATTTAAGCACATATACACATGGAAAAGCGAATGATTCATCGAGCGTTAGTTAAGTAATTAACATGAGTAGGCTGTCACATATAACCAAGAATACATGTCATACAAACAAGATAGTAATAATAATAATAATACAAGGACATAGACAAATTGTTACTGTTCTAATAACACTGTCTGTCAAATAAGTTAGTAAAAGAGCTCGACAAAACTGATCGTAAACAAACTTAATTGTAGAAGAGGTTCTATAGTTTTATAGTCTTCGAATAACTGATTATAAATATATATTGGATGCTAACCGGAAATCGTATAATTTTTAACCTGATCTGTTTACTAACTAATGCTTTACAACTAAATACGTAGTGACTGAGTATAATGAATACATCTATACGAAACTAATTGGTCATGAAGTAAAAACGCTGAAACTTATGCTTATCTATTACTAAAGAATTACAATTCAAGATGGATTTCTTGGAGTTCTAATAGGAGCCGTAACCAGTGGAGTCCAATCGGTATCAGATATGAGACAGCTCTCTATATCAGACAATGAACGAAGGATTACACAAGATCATGAATCGATTGAATTTAGACAAGAACACCTTTGGATGTTGGCTCAGTATGGTTTAGAGGTTAAGTGTTCTCACGCGAGACCGAAGGTCCTGGGTTCGAATTCCGCGTGCAGGCTTGTGAGCGTGCACTACCGGGAAGTCTCATACTAGGACAAAACGGTCGCCCAGTCCTTCCAGGTTTTCATTGGTGGTTTAGCTTAGACTAACTCGTGAATTCAAATGTAAAAATTAGAATTCCTTCAAATATTTAATATTATTCGACATATTTTAGATTGAACCCAACTATAATTATGCAATCAACTAAAGTGATATCGAGGTGTTGAATTGAAAAGAGGGGGACATGGGGAATATGATGAAAACGCTATGAAAATGTAGTACATTGATAGGGTCAGTTTTTTGAGTTCATTGTTATGGGATTATCCTAAAAATCACGTTATTATTATTATTAATGGCTTTATTCAATATTATATTTTTGGTACAACTTAGAATTCTCGGCACAGAATATTTCGACAAGTTTCCTTTTCTCATTTCTTGATCAATCCTGACGATAAAAACTGATTTGTCAACAGTTAAATATTAGCAGTTCAAGAATCGACATCTGAATAATGTTTATTATTTTCAATACATATTTCTAGCAACCATAATGTCGCTGATTATACTTTTCTGTAATTTTTACAGCGAAAGGTTGTAAACTTTTTATAAACGCACCTGAATAGGTTATACGATTGATAGACATAATGATGTGTTAAAACAAATAAAGACAGACAACTTGTTGAAATATCTAGATGAGAGGAACAGGTAGTCCAGATATTCAAGTAGGCCGCCAAGACACCGTTATGTAATACTGATACAGAAACTTATCAAACATAAAGTACTTAGTTTAGACAGTAAAACATTACTAAAATTCAATACATAAAACTTTTTCTATCGTCATGGATTTGTTTTAAATAGAGGCGAGATATCATTCAAATATGTTACAATCATAGTAAAGCTGTAAGAACGGTAAAATAACTCTACAAGTTACTATTTTAGTTTCTAGATAAATAGATTATTTCATTCTAATAGGTTGTTATTTACTTTAAACAGTGGATATATACAGTATTTTTTGTCGTCAACTGAAATTGATTATCTAACCAATGAAATCTTCGAAGCATTGAATAATTAAATTTTTTGACCTCGTTCAAGATTCCTCCCTAGTTTTTGATTGAGAACATGAACCGATTGATGTTAGACCACCTTTGGGAACCTGGAAGCACTGGACGGCCCTAGTGTATGCATACACATAACTCATGTACAATTAGATTGAGAATATTTAAGTCTTCCAGTAATCAAGATAGCATTGAACAAATGAGTTGGAATCCAATAGTTCATAATTTCAACTTGCAACAAAGTAGTTATCGTTCAATATTATTTGAGATATCAGTCTCATACACGAAATCATTCACTTCATGGGTCACGGTTTTTTAGTAAGATGCTCAGAAATTCATCTTAAAGTTAATAATTAGTTAGTTGGTGGTTATTACTGATGAAAGTGTATTTATGGAGTTTTTTCAGTATGATGATAAATTAACTAGTGTTAAAATAATGTTAATTCAATAGCTTAGTTATATTGTACTTGTAAGTTTCTTCTGACCTCTCATTCTGTGCATGATTTTTGCTGCTGTGATTTTCTGAGAAGTTCCAAACTAGTCGTTGTTAGTTTGAGTAGTTTTTACCATTACGTTCAACTAGACCTTCATCAGGTTCCACTCCAATATACGAAGTTATATATATATATATATATATATATATATATATATATATATATATTTTAAAGCGTGAGTAAAAGTATTTATTTTGGCCTAATGACGACGTGAGTTTGAAAAGCTGAGAAATCTTCATCTCACCAATCCTTCGTGTTCTTATTTTGAGCCGTAGTAACTGAAGTGGTTCCCTTTTTAAAGTATAAGTAGTAGGATACCGGAATTGCAGTGATTCCAGATTGTTAAATATAAACAGTAAGGTCACAGACCAAACATGTACAATAACAGCGACGATACGCAAACATAGCAATGGGGACGATTCTAGATAAAACAGTGGAAAGGGAAAACCTAACACTTCTATTTATAGATAGTTTTTGTACGGTCTTTGTGGCATAGACCAGCAACTTTTCAGCTATATAGTATGGATAATGTACGTATCTAAATCTAGTAGAGCGGTAGTTGAAATTTGTAAGCTAATATGATCTACGTGATTGTTATTATTGACGAACAAGTATTCATGATGTAAAATTTATTTGTATTAGTTGCTGGAATCTTCCAATTAATGCTTACGACTACAATTGGTCAGTCTGTTTTAGAATATGCACATCCTGTATGGATAGCCTTGATATCGTCATTAAGTCACAAGCATTATAAGTAGAGATATATGGTGGCTAGTAGTGGTATACAAAACGCACGTTTCGTCCTACTTAGAACTCAACAGATAGATGTATCTGGGTCCCAGAATTGATATTCACTCCGTAGCTATGTCGAGACAATGTGATGATTTTGAGTTCGAGTCCCGAAATGAATATCAACTCTGGGGTTCAGGTACATCAAAACTGACAAGTTCTAAATAAGACTAAACCTGCATCCTGAATTCCACTGCTAGCCACCTATCTATTGTTTAAAAGTTAAATGTTTTAATCGTTAAGATATTACATTGGTAACCATCATTCATTCATTATATTAAAAATCATTATACAAATATTTATCATAAACCATAAATAAACAACAACAACAACAAATTTATTCTTGCCTACCTACTTCATATGTTGGATCACCACATGCACAATGTCCAGCTGTTAAAACTTTATCAGGTGCTATAATTGTTCCAGTACATAAATGTGTATTACCAAGTAATAATACAATCATTGGAAATTCACCAGGATTTACTGGATAACCATTTTGTATACGATATTCTAATTGTGTTGCTAATAACATCAATAAATTCATGAATATACATAGAATAATTAAAATAATAATAATAATCCAACTATTTGTCAATTTTATACAATAACTCATTATTGATATGAATTTATTCTTTTTTTCTAACTGATCATGAAGATTTCCGAGTATTTAACGACAAGAACAACAACAACAAAAAAAACTGCCAACGAAATCACACACAAAAAAAACTTTTGTAAGTGCTTTATTGGTTGTTTTTTTCTCATTCACTACCACCACCCCCAGCACCAACAATAACAATAACGACAAAAAACATTGAACACGCATATCTAGTGTACTATTGAACGATGGTCACATGATTTACTAATGTCGTATTATTTAATTAATATGGAACAAGTAACTTTGACAACAGGTCAGTATAATAATTAAGATTATTTTTTTTAAATTTTGAATCAAGATATAATTTTATTAACACATTACTTACTTAAGTTTGTTAACCCTCATAGAGCATAGATTGTCAATCAGCAATGTCCAACTCACTGGTTTTTTTAGCTCTTCTTTCCAGTTATTGTCAAGTTCTATTTATTCTTTGAATATATGCTTCCATTTCTTTGTGTAGTGTGTTCTGTTGGCCATCTCTATCAAGTTGATATTGAGGATTTCGAATTAAAGCTTGCATTGTGATCCAGTTTGATGATTTCTTCAATATGTGTCACCACCTATTTTCCTAATTTCTTATTTAACTGGAATCTGCTTTGTTCTCTGTCACAGTAGATTGTTGTTGCTAATGTCTGGTCAACGAATCTGGAGTATTTTGAGTGGACAGCTGTATGTAAATGGTTTTGCTTTTTTGATGATGATTGTAGTAGTTCTCGGAGTTTCAACTCCATACAATAGAACTGTCTTCACTTATATATATATGATAGGATAATTAGGGAAAATTATGTATATTGATGGACCACTCATAAGTATCCAGTGAGGTGTTGTTTTACAATTCACTGTTGATCTAATCGTTTTGACCAACCACAATGTAGTCAGTTTTATGAAGGAGTAAATATGTAACTCAATGATTTAGCTATACTTGTATCCTAAAGGAGATAGTCTGTTAACATTGTAGATTATATACATACATTGAACTATTGATTAATTTATCCCGAATCCTAACCAGTTCAGTGTATTAAATTTGACTACTGATCAGTTAAATAGATCTGATATAACTCATTATATTGTTTACATGGTTGCTGATCAGTGTGTTGGTAATAAATTATTCATCCGTAGTCTTACCTACACACTTATATCGATCGGTATCAATCAGTCTTGTTTAGTTAAACTGTAGAAATATTTTGATCCAGTTACAATAGTTACTAGTCTGGGCGGTTAGAAATTTCACATACCATATCTGGATGTCAGATGTGTGGAAAGAGTGGGCGAGAGGCCCTAAGTATTTACTTCGTGCTAGTTGGCACTCATCATCAGGTGGGGGATCTGCAAACTTGAGGGAACTAATACTCCCTGCTGAGAGTCGAACCGTCACCCAGTATTACACTAAGGAACGTTAACAATTAGGCTCATTTTTTTTTCTAAAGCCTGAAAAAAATCAATTTAGGATAAATACTCATGTTTAGTTGAACAGGTGTTTACTCCAGGTATTTATTTGTAGATTCTTGACCTCCTTTTACAGAGTTTTCGTATAAAAAACTATTTGACACCGGTTACGGAACTTTTTTAAGGCAACACATGTGTTACTTTATTTATTTATTTAAACACATAAACATTGGTACAAGGTAGTACCAAATATATATGCACCACAATTCATCATTCAATTTGTGTGGGGGCTGGAATACTACCCGGGTGCCCAAACCAAGGCAAGTAGTTTTCTCGGGGGGGCAGTACCTGGAGCCTTCGACCTGAAAATCTGATCCACACGGCAGTGGAGAAACATTAGGAGATGCAGTCTCATGGTAGCTGGTGACCAACAATTGTTCCACACGCCATTTGTTCCTCAGGATCCTAAAGCCAATGTGAATCACTGGTTTGGTATAATAGTTTTCCAACTTCCCTAGGTGGATCCTCAGTACCCACCAATCCTCTCAATTTCGTAAACAACAGTAATACCGAGAGAAGGCAGTGAATAGGGCTTCGCTGGCATTGCTCTGTAACAGGTCTATAATCCTACATTCTGATAATGAAAAGTTATGATCGATTAAAATATATATCACTTGTTGAGATCACTTTATTGTCACTACACATTACTACATGGTGAATATCACATTTAGAGCACAGTGATATTTGTAGTTTAGTTCAACCAAAGATACCTTTATCCTATCTGATTTTCATCCCCTTTCGTTCAGTAAAATGATTAGTTTTAAAATGGTAATTATTAGTTATTTTCTGAAGAGTAATATAAAATGTAAATATTTCAACTTTGTGACGAACACTGATAATGCGTTCTTGAGTACGCTGTATCTGGTAGCGTTCCAGTTGCTTGAGGCGTTAGAAAGCGCTATCAGAGATTATGTAAGGGAAACATACTGACATTTCCATAAGAATAAGAAGCTGTATATAATATTTGTGTTGAAGAGATGGTCGTAGAATTGCCCGTGGTTCTGCACAGCTTACTAGACCAAGAAGGTAAGTTGATTAATGTTATTATATTTTTCCTGAAGGGCTGCAATAAACATCCAGCATCCTGCCTCCATTTGTTGTAAATTTACAGAAATTTACTGAACTGTTGATCGGAGTAACGTGTATCAAGATCATGAATTCAATTTCCTGAGGTACGACAATAATTCTGGGTACTCAGGCCAACTGTCTTAAAGTTCAGAACCATCCAACCTCTTCTGATTTCGAGGACAGCAGCTTTCAATGCTGTGTAGTTTGTGTACCAATCTCATGGGAAGAGCGTGAATCCTCAAGATGCACTTAATATGCTTCATAGAGTGCCCCCATAGGTCAGTATTCCAGCTAATTAATGTTCCTATTAATATCATGAATGGTAGGTGATTATGGCAAACTGTAAGCTCACATCACGTCATTTGGTGGGTTTTGTGAGTATCAAATAGATTAGGAAAATGATCTTCAGTATTTTTTCTTCTCAACTGCCGATCACACCAATTTGACGCGTCGTATCCTTGGTGTTGCCGGTTTTGACGGTACCTAAGGATTGTTTTGTATTAAATTGTGGCTTCAGACATGAACTCAATGGCAATACTTGTCTGCATAGCCACTAAAAGTTGTGAGACCTCAGTACTGCTATCACGGTTTCTGTCATTCTCCGGGCGCTCAACTAACGATCAAGAGTTGGTTGGGATTATCACAGACGACTCAGCGGAGATAGCTGCTGCAGTAACGTAAGTGTATCCCGACTCTTATCACACTTTATGTCGTTTATACCTCATTCGGGAAGTAATCATCGAGTAATCGCGTTATGTAATAATTATGTGATGATACATCGATTATAAAAATAATAACTGTAAGGTGATTACTCGAAAAATCAAACAATTACTAAGTTGCATAATATATAATAAGAAGGGACTAACTAAATATTTGGTGAAAGGTCATTGTTATATTAGTTGTGTAAGAATCAAACGATGAATTTTAGAAAATCATTTAGATATCTTTGAAGAAAAGGGTTTAATCAAGGTTCAGCTAAAAAAACCTGTTATACCGATGGTTCAAGGTAGAAAGAGTGGTTCTAGAAACTTCTGTTGGATGTACAAGTTAGGATTCTGAACATGGGTTCCGATAACTTCAACACTGTGCGAAAGAAGAACTAGTAAATTATGTGGTGAATTCGATGGAATATGATGGATAACCTTAAAAGTTTTATTCAAGTCAAATTGATGACCTATGATTACCAAGTCAGTGAGAATAGAACTCTTAATCACTTTTACTTGTCCTTTGATCAACCAAGACAGATGGTATTGTGGTATGTGATGACGGACTTGTTGAATTGTACGCTCTATATAACTGACTCCACAGGAGCAGTTGAATTGGCAAATACACATGGATGTGGCAAATTCAGACAGTTTGTCAGTAAAGACAAACAGAGAGACCGTCCGTTATTTTAGTTTGTACGATCATATCACTTCTAAATTACATGAAATAATCATAATCACTGCCCGTGAACTCGATTGATACTTATTCGGATTCAAATATTATTTGACCTTAAAATGTTCATTAATGTAGACAATCGTTTTAAGAAGATTAAAGTTCAGTTATCATTAATATTGCATTATTTTATGGTAGGTATTTCTATGCCTGAGGTCTACTGAACTAATATTTAAATAAATCCTCGTCAAACCCTAATGAATATGCTACATAATAACTTAATCAAAATAATAATAATAATAATAATAATCAGATTTTAGTTCACGGATTAGTAATACAGTTTCATGGTTCAACAAATGTCGATATCATCTCATGAAAACTGATCTGTTTATTAATTGAACATATTAACCTGAATAACAATTTTTAATCTTAGACTCGCTAAGCTGGTCAATTTAGGTATTTCGTGACAAAATTAAAATTAAGTATATGCTGTATGCTACTTATGTTGACAGATATAAGTAGTATGTAAAACCAGTTATAAGTAGAATGCCTGTCAGTAGAAGATTGAGAAGATCAAATTGAAGAAAACAGGAATGTAAACAGAGAGTAATTTTAATGAAAATAGAATTGAAAGAATCATGAAGCATTTAAAGGACAACTGAAGGAAAATGGGCAAATGATGTATTTTACGTATGGTTATCATATTTTATAAAAGCTCTCTGAAATTTGGACTAAACAATAGATTGGTTATCTTTACCGAGTCTTCCTTTACTACAAGTAAAGTGAAACATTAGGATATAGGAGTCATGCTGAAAAGAAAATGAACATCATATTATTCTCACAAAATACTATCTACGTTTTAATCACTTGTCGGAAGTGGTTATCATTGAAAAATAGAGCTATTCGGGTTTGGTATTAAAGTATTTACATATTGACAAGAAGTACAGAAATGTTTAATAGATAAATAAAATCATTTTAAATGCGATTTTTTAAAGGAT